AGATTTGACATGTTTCCTCCACCACAGACAGGCATCCCAGGGTTCCTTTCTCTTTCCACGGGTGTGGAATTTGCGTGACCCTGCCCACTGCCTCTCCCTTAACCCTTTGCTATTCTTTTCTATGGCACACAGCAAACAGAGGAATTGAGCAACAGCAGATATCCCAGTGTTCCTTTCTCTCTTCACTGGTGTGGAATTTGCATGACCTCCGCCCACTGCCTCTTCCATAACCCTTTCCTATTCTTTTCTACGGCACATCGCAAACAGAATAATTGATCAGCAACAGACATCCCAGTGTTCCTTTCTCTCTCCACTGGTATGGAATTTGCATGACCACCACAGTCACAGTGCTCTGGCTTGATGCAGGGTGAACGACAACTCCCATCATTGAGTCTCTCCCCCAAACCCCTCCAGTATGATCAGTGGTTGTGGGGGTGTCATGCAAATTCCACACCAGTGGAGAGATAAAGGAACACTGGGATATCTGTTGCTGATCAATTCCTCTGTTTGCTGTGTGCCATAGAAAACAATAGGAAAGGGTTATGGAAGAGGCAGTGGGTGGGTGGGTGGCCATGCAAATTCCACACCAGTGAAGAGAGAAAGGAACACTGGGGTATCTGCTGTTGATCAATTCCTCTGTTTGCTGTGTTCCGTAGAAAAGTATAGCAAAGGGTTAAGGGAGAGGCAGTGGGCAAGGTCCTGCAAATTCCACAGCATTGGAGAGAGTAAGGAACACTGGGGTGCCTGTGGTGCAGGAAACACATGCAATTTATATATTATTATATTTATATATAATTTAATTTGGGATGAAATGGTCCCCAAATGAAAGCCCTCCCTTGGGTGGTGGGCAGTATGGTGTGGGTGGAGGACATTATATATATGTGAGTGTATTTCCTAAAATGTGTGACTTACCTTTCTTTGGGGCGGAAGGTTTGATGAAATAAGGCAGGTTTTTGGTGGCTCCCCGGAGCTCCTGCTTCAAAGCCAACATATATTCGACTTCTTCTCCCGTCTGAAGAGGAAGCGGCTTGTATTCCAAGGGCTGAGAAAACCATAATCATAATAATCAACACAATAAAAATATACAATACTAGCTTGATGACCTGGCGATATAAGAATATTAAATTATATTATTATAATAAGTAATAGAATAAGTATAATAATAATACAATTATAATAATATAATAAATACATAGAAAATATAATAATATGTAATATATAATAATAATATGTAATAGAATAATAATAATAATATAATAAATATCTATAATATATAATACGTAATATATAATAATAATATGTAATAGAATAATAATATAATAAATATCTATAATATA